TATAGTCTTAGCGTCCGTTGCGTAACTACTTGTTTTGATAATTGCTGTTTTCGATTCGGGATTTATTTGCTCGTTATCCTTACGCATTGCTCTCTTGTGAAAAATTCCCGTTTACTTATAAGAAATAACAAAGTTTCTAAACAGAGGGAATATTTTATTTTCTTACTACAGATGTTTGTGTTTTTTCTATAAACATAACACTTGAAATAAATTATAATTGTTTAAAGAAAATGTAAGGCATGTATGCTGTTCGAAACTAAAGGGTTAGAAGCGAAAGAAAGAAGTGAAGCGCAATGCGTCAGAGAACATGTCAGCGCAAGGTTTCATCACAAGTGCTGCCAGACTTATTAAATAGCTGAAACAGTTTGTTCGATTCGCTGTTCGTTAGCACTTAGCGACTCAAAGACAGCTAACATTTCAGTACTTACGCACGCAAGTAAGAAAATAAGCTTATTGATTTCGTAATCGTTTTTACATTGGCATTTTATTTCTAATTTCATTACATTTGTATATTTTAAATTTAACTCCATTTGTAATATGGCAATTGTTCATTCATTTATTTGCACTTAATTTAAATTTAATTTACTAGTAATTTATATGTAGTTTACTAGTATTTTCAACTTATTTTTATTACAAAACATTTTTTGCTACATTCATATTTACTTTCATTAATTAAAAATAATAATTAATCATTAGTACACACTAATTTTCGCTTAAATGTTTTACTGATATTATTATTATTATTAATAATAAATGTTTGCTTAGCTAAGTTATGCAATCACTTATGTTTATATTAAATTTATTTTGTTGTTAGTTTGACCATCAGCATTGAGTTTATTAAATATTCTGTTTAATTCAATTTCAGCTAATTGTTCATGTGTTTATGCCATTTTTAATCAATTTTATTGTTTTGTTTTTATTTTATTTTACTTATGTTCTTTGAATCTCTTTTGTGTTAACATTAATTGCGTAAAAAATTTACAAATATTACGATGCTTTACTAAGTTGATGACATGGCTTCGATAAAAGAAATAAAGTCATAAAGTATTTTCTTTATAATTTTTGTTTTAACTATTGGTTTCATTAACTAAAACATCCGAGTTAACAGCTAAGCTTGCTTAGCTTAGAAAATATTTATAAATTTTAATTGCCTCTTTTTGATTTTATATTAAAAAGTTAGCAAAAAAAACCCTAATTAATTTAAAAAAGAAAGTAAATATGTTATTGTTGTACATGCTTTTGAGCATAGTGTATATCTATGTTAATTGTGCTGAAAATTTATTTGTTGTTTTATCTGTGTTGCCATTTCATCTCACATACATTGATTTCATTTACTATTTGCTCATATAGCTTAGGAATAGAGTAGATGAGTTTTGCAATTGAGATTTTTTTATGATTTTTCTTAACATTCAATTCATATTTTGTAGTTTAGCAATTTTTATCGATTTTGGGTATATTTACAAGTAATTGATTTTATGAATAATTGTTTTATAGTTATGCTTTAAGTTGATCAGTGTGAGATATAACTAAACTCTGTGGAAAAAGAGGTATTCGCACAAGTTTCTGTCCATAAGTATAATTCAACTTTTGTGTAATAAAAATTGGAAGTTGTGAAAACAGTGTATTAACTATAAAAAATAAAAAAAATATCAGAAAGGCTTCAGAATCTTTAAAGTAGATATATTTTTAAAAAGTTCTGTCTAATAGCGGTCTGCTTTCGACGGCTTTTCTTAATTTTCTGAGTCGGAGGTGGCCTAAAACTTGTAATACCCTAATGTCGGCAAATCATCTGCTAAAGGCAAAAACGCACGTGTAAGTTTTCCTGTTAAGACATTTGGTACACTTACATAACAGTGGTCAACAAAAGGAAATTTTTGGCTTTTTAATGGCTTCTGACATGTGATGTTTATTAATTAATTTTACGTATCTTCTGTTTGTATAAAATGTTTAATTATGTTTTGACCATTTGATAAAGCACTTCAAGAAAAGTTCGTGCAATTGATCCAAACCATTTTGGTTTCATATTAATCATTCTAACTTTTTAAATTAAATATTATATTTTACGAAATCACTTTCACCAGAAATCAACCGTATTATCATTTTAATTTCATAAAAATATTCGTCTAAAAGGTGGTCAAAGTGATTTCGTAAAACATAACTTTTCATTCAAATCAGCCATAGTACTTTTATGAACATAACTGGATTTATTTGAAAAATGCTTTCTCTTACTCTGTGTACTATATATATACTATGCTTAAATCTCAATCTTATTCTCTACATAGGGTGAAAGTTCAATTTCACAACAGCAATAACGGCGAGTCTAAGTTACGAATGCCTATAGGAATCGATTTCCCAATTGACCTAGGACCACCGAAGTCATCTTCAGAAATTTCTTCTTTTAGGTTATAAATAAGGTTTCCTTCTCTTGTTATAGTCCAAAAAACATAATGACCTGAATTCGTTCATTGAACAATTAAATTTAGTACTTTAATGAACCTCATAGTTAATTTAAGACTTTCTTTTATGGATTAAAATGATGAACAAAGGTACTAATTCCAGCAAGACCGTGCTAGGATGAGATTTTCTGGAATGTTCATAAAAAGACCGACAATAACTGACACTAAGACTTGAATTGATATCGTAAAGAACAACCCAGACATCCGAAGTGCATTGCATGCTCTCAAATTTTTGGAATAATCATATTAATGCACCATCGTCACCTAAAATGCAAAACAACTTCACATCACTTTTCATAAGTTTACAGGAGAAAGCAAAATACAATTTAGTTTTGGTTATAATTTGGCTGACAGCAGAAGCCTAAAAAAAATAATTGTCGTTTTTTACAAATGTATATATTTAAATGTAACAAAATCCTAATAAAAGGGCGTGTCCTTCAAAAAGCCACTGAATTTCTCATTTTAACACTGTTCAACTCAATAGAATTTTTTCTCGTTCTGCAAAACAAAAAAAAATTATAATTTAATATAATTTTTAAGCTTTGAAACTAAATTACATATATTTTACTTTGCGTAAATAGTTACTATTCTCTTATATAAGCTATCTTCGATTCACCGATGTTAAAGCAACAACAAAGTTATCGAGCCGAATTCGTACAAGAGAGTGTGCGGATACCTCATTAAAGTGGTATAACCACAAACTTCAATGCTACCATGTTTCGTGTTGCATATTTTATATCAGTTTTGCTATTGTGAATAGCTTAAATGACGAACGCAAAATATAAATTTATTTTCATTCTTTGATTTTAAAAACTTCAGACTTAAGATAAATAATAATAGTTTATAGAAAACGAAAATAAGGGATTACAAAAACGTTTTTTGACAAGGAAAAAGTAATTTCTCAACCAAGGTAGAATAAAAGCACAATAGCGCATGCGTCAAAGGACATGCTAGCTCAGCGTTGCACCACAGTGCTGCCCTTTTGTTTGAACATCTCGTATAGTTTGTACGTTTGGTTAGTCTCTAGCGCTTGGCGTATCGAAGGAAGCTAAAGGAAAATTCAACTACGGTATTTGCGGTATGTAATTGGTTCCGGGATTTCGTTTTCCTTTTTAGTGAGCACGAATTTGCTAATACCGAGAAGTAACATTTAAAGTTTAAATTTTATTTTATTATACTCTAATATTGTTATGTTTTTTTGTTTCTTTGCTTCTACAGTAAGTCATATATTTATTTGAGTTATTATGACCTCTCAATGTTTTCTGTTTTCAGCAAAATAAAACTTATACAAATGACATTTTTTTATCAATACATCCCATGAATTTATAATGTTTGAGAACTCCGATGAATTATTTACATTATTTTATAATTAAAAATGTTCAATTTTAAAAACTTAAATAAAAATAACTTATAAATATTTTTAAATATTGTATATATTTTGGAGCTAAAAGCTACGGACTTATTTTATATTTCATTATTTTACTTATTTTTATTTATTTATTTATTTTTGTTTTAGTAATTTTTTACTTGGCATACACACTGTCGAATTTACCATTTCTGCCAATTAAGTTTTATTTTAATTGCTCTTTTATATCTATGTTTCATCATTCTTACCACACTTAAATGCTGTTTTAGTCATGTGTACATTGAGAATAGTTACACAGAATTTATGTTTTGGTTCGCTTTCACTATCTAAAATATTTTACATATACAAAATGGTTTATTTTAAATTGTTTGTGTGAATTTTTGCGATTAATGTCGATACGATTATTAAATATATTTAATATTGATTAAATGCATTCAGTGGTGACGTGTGAAATACATACATATAGTCGTAACTTTTTGGGAATGTGAAAATTGCGTGGGGGTGTAGAGTATGCTGTTGTACTTAGTGGTTGGCAAATTAAAGATTTTAAAGTTACTCTTTTTATTAAGTTTAGAAATGGTGAAGATAATTAGTTATAGTTTGTGACAGTTAGTTTTTGTTAAAAGTACAGCTCCTAAAAGTATGCCTCTTTGCTTGTCCAAATACTACAAGAATTAATATTTTTACACTGTTCTCGAGTTGAGCAGACTATTTTAAGTTTATAAATTCTATATATATTTGATATTTTCTGTGTGTATTTTATTTCACAAATAATCTTTAGGTTATTAAAAGTTTTATCCTCCGTTGACCATAATTTACACCTTAACCTACATACATATATTCAGAGTTTTGTGAAATTGTTCAACATACTAATAGAGCTGGTAGTTTGCTTAGACTTACTCTCAACATCCCAGTCATTTATTCAGGGAACTCTATTTACTTTGTAGTATATTTCTCATAATACAGTTGCTCTCTCTCTCTTTTCCCTTCTTTCTCTATTAATAAATTCTCTCACTCTCGCTCTTTAAATAATTGTCAATTTCATACTAATATATTTTTTATGGTAATCCTTTACCTTTCTAATGATAATAACTGTTTTTAATCTAAATCATAGTTTACCCTAATAAATACTCTCATCATCACAGACACACCGTTGCTCTCAAAGACGCACACCCACATACACCTAAGTACTTTACATAGTTTATTTAATATTTACCATTTAAAGCGCTTAAAAAAGTACTTTAAGTTTTCGTTTAACTATTAGGATTTGGATGGGAACTTAATTTACATCAATTCGAGTGCCATTCTACTCCGTATTCCAATTGCCATTTGATGGCTATGTTGCTGCTGACGCGTTGTCATCGGTGTCCCGATGTCTTTGCGACTTTAGTGGTGGCAGTAAAAGCATTGGTGCTGTATTGCGACTCATCAGCGCCACCCGTTCTTGCGCGTGACCATTTACCACTCGTGACAATTCCATAGTGAATGGCTCTGTTCGTTGGTAGACCGCAAATTTTTCATTCCATAGTTGATTGCTTTGCCACCACTTCCATCGGATGCGTTGCCGCAGTTTATATTGCTGTGGTAGCTCAGCTTCTTCTGGTTGTTGGTGTGTTTGCTTTTCTGTCGATTGGCTGGGGTGCTCTTGCAGCAACAGTACGGTTAGGAGTGCCAAGAGCAGTAGGAGCGTAGCAGGCGGTGGTTGGACTTGTGGTGTGGCGTGTCCATGATGCATAGCAGCGGGATGTTCACCTGTAGAGAAATGACACAAATTGGTTGCAAATAAATTGAAGTAGCTTGCATTATAATACCCGTAAATTTTTTGAAAGATAGAACTAGCATATTTATACTTGTATTCAGAATGAAAAAAAAAAATTATCAGCAAATTTAAATTTTTGAATCTGAAGAAGTCAAAGACTGAAATTGCTCTATATTTGGCGCACAAACTTGAGTATTAATTTTATAATTATTTTTTGATCGTCTCCTATTTGTCAATATATAATTGCAATTACAGCAATAATATTTCTGTATTTTAAGTCCGCCGGTATATCAATCAAGATTTCAGAGATCTCACAAGAGTCGCAAACTTTTACGAAGATGCCTTTATATATTTGAGTTCTGCTTAAATATTTTATAAAAATATATTCGTAGATAAGAGAATTCAGAGCTAATTTAAAATTAGTTGTAAGCGAGGCTATCTATCGGTCGGTCCAGGAGACGAGGTGTTTTGAAAGGTTCGGACTTTAGGTGAAGGAATGTAAGAAGAGTGAGTATCACAGGAAGCATTTACATGCTGCACATACATCTGTTAGAAATGATCAAACCTAGTCTAAATAAATAGCAGTTTAGCTTACCTCTTCTTGTCGGAAATATGCTGAAGTGCGGTGGGTTAATTGTTTTATGTCATTGATTTCCTGGGAGGCGGTTACGATCCAAACAGATGACTACAAGAATGATTTCTGTGAACACTTTTTTATAGGAACTGCTTCGAAAGAAGTTCGTTATAGTTCTTGACTGGGAGTAAGACATCTCACTGTAAATTTGAGTATGTTTTCGCGGCTCTGTATTTTAGTCGTAGTCGTGAATGTATGCAATATGAAAGAGGTCAGGCTGTCGAATGTAACTTACAAATTTTTGGCGTGTGTACTGTCGATATGTCGGCTTCGCAGACAGAATTTTTAAAGTCGTTACTTCTTCGTTCAGTAAGTAAAAATCGCATGCTTGTTAGTTAAGCTAAGCTTAAGCTTGGTTTAGAACCAAGTATATCATCTTCGACACATTCAAACGACCTTGATTGATATGCAAATGTATATATGACTTGGTGATTAGGCTACTTATTGACGACTTCTTACTTTTTGAATACTTTTATTAAATACCATGAACTGTTTGGTATTTATTATCAATTATTTATAGACTTCCCAAAACTATCATTATATAGGTATAGTATGCTTGGTTTCTAAGAAAAAAAGTTTGCAACGGTTTATAGGGCGATCTCTTTGAGTGAAAATTATTGTATTTTTTATGAGTAACATACACTCCAATAGTTGTGGTTCTAATAAACGTGGATACTATACATTACTTATCTTCTGATTCAAGCCATTTAAGTAGTTTAGTAATCATTTCTAAAAGCTCATGTTATAATGAACATTCGGTATTACACTCTTATATTAAACTACAAAAATCTACTTTAACTAGAATTACTTCGAACTAAGCTCTCTTCACTAAATATACTAGCAGAACAGCTAGATCTAAAAACTTTCTCTATATCTAAAGAATGCCTCGAATAAATCAACCCATACAATTGACTGTACAAGAGCTCTTCGACACTTATTGTACAGAACAATTCTTGCAGTATCTGCTTATTTTTAATCACACTAATGTCTCACGTTTATGAAATTAGTATAGAACTCCGCCAATTCGCTGAGTAAGCCCAAACATTATACAAATGCTCAGCTCTCTTGAGCTCTCGTACTCAACTTAATTTACTATTCGCTAATTAATCGACTTTTATGCACATCATGTTTATGAGCCAGGCAAGCAGTCAGCCATTTCGAAGTGAAGGAGTGAAGCGTGTCGTGCAAGCGTTATGCTTTTACTTGAATTACGTGGCCATTTGCATGATTTATGCATGACTTTTACAACATAGAGTAGCTTTAGTGCTCGCATACATATTTATATAGCTATGTTGAGGGGAAGGGATGATATACGAAAGTGTTTAGCAAATATAATTACACACCGTGCGCTCATCCTGCGCTACCGCATTCACTTTCACTTTAAGAGCAATCATTTCCTGAATTCATGTGGCATAAAAGTGGCGCAGTGCGGTATTTGCGCTAATGGCCGTCAACCATCGCGCTGGTGTGTGTGTGGTTGCTCTAGGCGCTTCGGCTGGTCTATGAAAACTATGGGCTATTAACATTGAGCGCGCTCAAACTAGTTCGACAACGTTAAGCGTTTAATGTGCCACCGAAAGCGGAGAAACTAAACCTTGATAAGGGCGCCTGTAATCTTTTGACATACTCACACTCGGTAACTTGCACAAACAACTGTAATTAATTGCAAAAGTTTCACTTTCTTCCAACTTCCTAAGTTGTTGTATGTTTTGATAATTTTTGGATGCTTCTTTGTAGGAAATGGTAAGAGTAGTTTCCGAGCAAGCTGATTCTTACAACAAAGTACCAATGAAACTTGATAAGCCAGTTACCTTTTGTAGATATCTTTTACTTCCTAACATACTTAACTTGAGCTCCAATTATTATAGCGTTCTGAAAGGATATTAATTTCTATTATAGTCCTCATAATAGATTTGTTCTAAAATAATTTGTATTTTCTCAAAATTGTTAGGTTGAGTAAAGTCGTTTAATAAAAAATCGATGAATTTTACATGGACAGATATTTGTCTTTTTTGTTACCAAAAAAATCCTTAAAGTGCATCAGTTTCCGGTGATTGCGTTGTGACTTAACTACCGTTTCATAGAGCCAGAATACCACTTTCGGCGAGAGGTCCCACCTCTTTCCAAATGCTCCTCTACAACAGTATAAGGCGAGCGATGCCTAGCCCCAAGTACTTAACCCTGTTCATCAGTTAAATAAAAGCAGCTAACTAATTCTATCTGCCAAATATCGTTCCTCCAGCCGTGACACTGCCAAGTGCAAGACAGTATCGACTGACCTGCTTTTGCTGTAGGCAATCTGAGCACTTAATATCCCGTACCTTGAAATGATTTTCAAAAATAAATCAATGTAGCCATTGACTGTTAGTTCGATGAATAATTTGAATGACGTCATAAAGGCTCTGAATTCAATCTTGTGCTAAATAGCATCCTATGCTAACACGGGCAAGAAATTATTGCTATCTTCTAGAAGAGTTCGGATAAAGTTGTTGTTGATGTGGTAATAGTTATGGAGTAAAGTATGTAGTAGCAACAACACTACATATAGCTAAGCTATGTACTGTTACGCTGCTTGCGAACTTACATCTTTCTTACTTGTCTCATGTAAAGTTTGATCGTACAAGTTATCATACAGAAATGCTTTCGTCTCATTGAGATAATTGTTTCATTGATGCTGCGCATTTGATTAAGCCAACATCTTTGGGCACCTTATACATTAATGTCGGTACTATATAAAAAGGTCTATTATCCAGAAAAAGGTTCGTATGCTCACCAATGGAAACATATGTAAGTGTACAGACTGGCACACAAGTGTAGCATATTACTCCACATAATGTGAAAACTTCAAAGTTTGAATTTCATATAACAGTCCTAACACGTTCAATAGCAATAAAGTAAAACTTCCTTAAAATATTGAAACCTTAACACGAACTTTTTTGTATATGCTTCGGCAAATCAATGTAGGCGTACTTCCAAAACAATAAATCAACCTATTGGAATATATCAAAGCAACATTCATAACTTTAGCACATCTCAACATAACAATCCGGGTTCTTTCAATATGTACAGTTAACAGGAGTATTGCTTTGCAAAACTTTTAGGCAGTTAATCTTTTCAATTTGGCATTCATATAATAAGTTGTTTTTGTTTTTTATCTACTCACCATCAACGATGTGCACGCGAACCGATGTAGGATTTGCATTTGACGGCGTGCAGGTGTATAGTCCTGAGTCCTGTTGTATGGCCTTTTGTACCAATAATCGGCTGGTGGTGACTACGCCTTTCTCTGTTACTAATGATATACCACCGCGTGGCGAATCAAAATTTATGACCTGAAATGAAAAGAAGATGAGGTGTTTGTGTGTAAAGCTTAGTGGAAAATATTGAGTTTCATAAGAAATATGAAGTTTTTTTATTGACACATTGTAACTCAGTGTTTTTTCAGCTCAATACTTTCTAATCCAGAGGTTACGACTGCATTTTGTTACAAGAAATTTGAAATTCATAAACTTGCCAGAAATAGAAACATATAAAACCAGAACGGTGTAAGAATTTTTTGCATTTTCAGCATCATTATATTATTTAAAATACTTTAAGCTACAGATAATTTTTAATTTTCGATTGGAGTTTAAAAAATAATATATTATAAAGCAATCGGGTTTTCAACGAATCTTTTCAAAATTTTTCTGCTACTTAACTTATGTACCATCTGATCAAGTCTGACCCGGACTGGCATTTTTACGGCAGTCAACTACGTCGTCAAGTATATCTTTTGCGACCTTTACTCGACCTCATTTTTGCAAAAGCTTTAGAATTATTTTCGCTTTCACTTCCAAAACATTTACCAAAATGTTGTGAGAGATCCTCAGGTAATTTTTGTTTTTTTCTTTACAATTTCTTTAACTTTTTCGTTTTTATCTTTCATTCATTCATTCATTAACAGAGGTGGATAGACGATTAGCATGAGACAAGTTTTCGATGATTTCACGACCTTCACTGAATGCTTTATGCCACTCGTATATTTTACTGCAACTCCAATGCAACACGAAATTTCAAGCGAACTCTTTTGCCATGCTAAAAATCGCCAGTCTAATACATGCAACATTAATTGACAGGAGATTAAATTTAGTACGAAAATATAGAGGCCAAGAACTTTTAATTTTAGCTTTTAGTATTTATTAAGTATTTAAATAATTAATATCGATACATGCATGAAAGACACAGGTCTAAACACAGATTCAGCAACAAAATGCGTAAAATTTTCAATCAAAGAAGTGTGCTCATAACAAATATATCGTTAATCATATACACGTTGGTGAGGGATATCACATTTAGCAAATAAATTTTACTTAGTGTTTCGCCTGAGGGATTGGATTTTCCCTTGTTTATTATACGAGTAGTTGTTGTGAAAGTCGTTTCTTTTTTTACTTTTCCGCATTACATAATGTCGGTTTATTCTATTTGATGGAGTATGGGGATCCTTCCCACTTCCATTAGCTTAAACATTTGAAAGTATTTTTGTCTCTTTGGCATTTGCGTTTGTTGATACGCTTTACTTTTAGTTCCTTATTGTTCGTGCGTAGCTGAGCGAGGCGCTTATGAAGGGTATACAACTTAATGGAACCCTCGTCAAAACGTTTTCACATTTATTTGTCAAGTAAATACCATATTTTATGACAGTGGTAAATCAAACACTTCTATTTGAGAGCAGGCGTATTAAAATAAACGAGTATGTATATGTATATACATATATATTAGGGTGTGTCAAAAAATTAACCAATATTGTTTTTTTTACTTGGTACTCTGCGGGAAGGTGCTCGATTTACTCTTTTCAATATTTTTTTATTATCAGATAGATAATAATATATCATATCTTGCTTCCAACTACTTGAAAAAATTTATAATTTCATAGATTTTGTAGCAAATTGAATGATCAAGAAAAAAATGGTCTCTTAATTTTTTATTATTTATACTGTCTTTCATTGATTTTTGACTACGGATACCTTGAAAACGCTTAACTTAATCGAGAAACTTAAAATTCTATTTTGTGGAGCAGTAATTTTCCTACAAAACTATGCAATTTATGTTTGTTACGTTTCGCAATTTAAATGAAATGAATCTTATTTTCAGAGTACCAAGCGAAAAAGAGTTTCGTTTTTTTACCCACCTTAATTATGGTATATACATATAGGTTAGTAAATTTATACTTAGGTATACATATATATACGTCAGTGAAGAAAGTTCTGGGTCTTATCTTTATTAACAATTTTTCATGATGAATATGTTTTCCATTCTATAAAGCATACATACATATGTATGTACGTATATTTGTAGTATTTTTTGATCAGTCATAGTATTTCAACGTACATATATGCATACAAAATTTTTTTTTATTTGGCAATTTTTCCTTCAGATTTTTTATTGCTTTTAGTAAAAACTTGATCTTGTCCGCAAGTCCAAAACCTTTTGTGTCTTTGTTTCGGACGCCACTTCCACTTACCTCTCGATTGTGTGACCAAATGACTGTGGGCGGCGGTTCTGGTGCAAATTTGACAATACAAGTCAAATTGATTGTTGAACCTTTATTTATGTGCAGCTCTGGTCCGCCAATTACTTCTGTTATGGGTTCTGTAAAAAGTTAAAAAAAAATAATGTCTTAGAAAAATAGAAAAAAAAACTTCATTATAGGATGAAAGAAAAGCGTTTTATTAAATTTAATTGTAATATATATTTTAAAAAGATAGTTTGAAGCTTTCCGATTCCTATTTTAGCTAAATAATTTGAGAACGTGCAGTTTTTACAGCCACTGAGTTCAAAATAATGCCTACTTTTAGGAAGATACCGAACCTAGCTTATATTGCTTACTTTTAGGGAGAATTTTTATTAAAGCTATATAAGAAGGAAGAAAACATTTATAACCATAAAAGTATAGACATAAGTCAGAGTTATTTTTCAGAATGATTAACAGGTTCAAATTTATATTTTTGAGTTATAATATTATTTTTTATTCGATTTCTTACCACAGACATCCTAAACATATTACTTAACATCTTCGCAAGAGTGTTCAATTAGGAAACTACGGGGATATTAGTAAACTACTTGTAATTAATTTAATTTATAGAAAAGTTTTTTGATGTGAGATAGTATTCTAAATGTCCGGGGAAGAGACTAAAATCCCAAAAAAGTTTCGATAGAGCTTGTGATTTCGGATGACAAATATTTGAAACATGGCAAACTGTATAGAAATATTTAAAAAATTGCATTTTTTGTAGAAAATTATCCAGTCATTGCATTGTCATACACCACGCGCTTACTTTCTTATTTCATCGCCCCATAAACTAAAGTAAAGATTATTTACCAAAAAAGCAATCTAACGATTATCGAATTTTATTTATTTATTTACAAACGCTCATTCAAGCGTGGCTTTGCATTTTCTTTAAGTTTATTGAGAGCTTAGCCCCAAGAGGTAACTATAATCAATTCTATAATGTCTGACGCACACTCTGACCATATGGTAGCATATTTTCACATGAAAAGAAAAGTATAACTCACGCACGAAATTTATCCAAAAATTTCTTTTTTTTCACCAAATTAAACGATTGCTTATGTTCATCTGCAGCGGACTGCTGAACTCGCCGAAATTCTGTTTTCTGATTTCACGGATTTTTTTTTTCCATTTTGTGTACTTTTCGCTACTCACGCACACATGTTTTTTTATCTTTTTCCCCCTTGGTATTTTTGCTTTCCTTTTGAGTTGTACGCTTTGCTTTTGTGCAAGTCTATGCGCTGTCAGACGCAGCTATATTTTTAGAGGGTACCATTTTTGTGATATTCTTTCTTGCTCGTTCAACCCTCACTATCGGATGAAGTAGTGATTTCAGCGAAAGTTATGACCTTTTGCTTTTAATTTGCTGCATTAATATGCGGTCTTCATATAAAATGTATTTATGCACATATAAAGAAAAACTTTTTCGCGATGATTGTGCTAGGTTTGGCCCACTGACGTTGCCTGCGATTGTGGCTACGCTGCTGAGCATTGTATATATGTTTTGGGAATTGTGGGTAATATTTGTATTTACTGCCATTATAGCTAACATATTTCTAGTGGCAAGCTTTAACTGTAGACTTTTATATCTAAAGTTATGACTAAGCTAAATTTTTTCATATTGTTTGGTTAAATGAAGTAGAAGAATAACTTTAGAAGTCGGTGGTTATATCATAAAAGGGTTAAATATTTGTAGATATTTTCTATTTATTTTAATTTTTTCTTTATTTTTCTACTTTTTTTTGGTTGTGTTTTTGTTTCTTTTTGATGGTTGATTGCATTTGGTTACTGGTTGTAGGCTTCGTCCACCAGTGCGTATGAGCAATATAAAATGCGTACACTGTGCTCAGCGTAATAACCAGATAATAAATAAAGATGATTTTGCATTATATAGCTATGCCATCAGCAGTTTTTTGATTTCCAGTTCAGTTTTTTACTAGCTTTAACTTGTTTGCGATAATAGTGTTGGGAGACAGCTCGGCGTATGAGTGATATTGCGTAAATCAAAGGAAAAACAAAAAAAGCGTTAATTTCGATTGCCGCTAAGCTATATAATACCCTTCACAAATACAAAAGATTCCTTACAAGCTCTTGATTTCGATCATTCTGTTTGTAGGCAGCTGTATAATATAGTGGTTCAATATCGGCGGTTCCGACAAATGAGCAGCTTCTTTTGGAGGAAAGGTCGTGTGCAAAGCCTTAGATCGATTTCTCAAAAACAGCGAAACTAGTCTGTGTATATATTATACAAACAGACGGATGGCAGACAAACATAGCACAATGAACTCAACACATTATGCTGATCACTGATATATTTGTTTTGTAGGGTCTCCGACATTTCCTTCTGGGTGTTACAAACTTCGTGGCAAACTTAATGTACCCGGTTTAGGGTATACATATTTATGAAAATAAAAGGAATAGTATTATTAAACTTAATAATTATTGTTTATTTTAAATGTTTATCAGACCTATTTTTATTATTTATAATACTTAATTTTTTTGTCTAAAAAATGTAGTATAATCAAGATGTTTAAATATATAAAAAAAAAAATAAAGAAAAACATTCATTTCATTTTGCTAACCCTACAATTTAAATATTAAAATGAAAGCCCTAAAAATCAACCCATTTTGAACATTCACTATTTTTCCGAAAAAAACATTTAAAAAAAAATCACAATCCAGCTCATAGCTTTAGCTATTATTTTTAACTAACTATTTCTTTCACCTGCAATTTCTTATTAATACAGTTAATTAGGTTTAAATCCGCTAAAATTAGATTCTGCTTAAATTGCCTGCATGCTCGGTTGTGGCAGCAGCATATCTGAAATTATATGTCAGAGCGGATTACACGTTCATATATTATGTGTGTATGCATGTGGATGTGTGCGCTTGCGACAGCAGGTGCTATTAATAGCCAAACATTAATATGACCTCGACTTGTTTTCGCTTGTATTTGGCTATCTTTGGCCGCTCTATGCTGCAGCAGCCGCACAAAGTGTTTCATGTGGTCAGTTAGATGATTATATTGAGGTTAGAATTTTGGGCACTGGTGACAGCTTGACCTAATTAGGTGTATTTTTAATTATGAAAATTTATTGGTGGCATTGTAAGTAGGCTGTATCACGTTATTTATGTTGACATAGAGTATAAAAATATTTCTTTTGGTGTTAAAAGTAAATATTTATGGAAAGTAATATTTTACTTGAAATAAATTTGGTTTAATGCCTTAAGGAAGTAAAATTCATTTTAACTTTCCTGAGTTCAGCAAAGACTAGCATAGTGAAGGGCAGGAATTTATTTGAACAAAGATTTTTTTAATAAAGTACTATAATTTCGAAGGTATTTTATCTTTAAACAAAAATACTGTATTTTTGTTGTGCAAATGTTTATAATAATCCAAAATAAAGTCAATGACAGTTGCCTTCACAGAAGATTAAAATTTCCGTGAAATCGTTAATTATCATTTCGAAACTCTAACTTTTGCAATAATATTATATATACATGGAAATGTTGTTATTTTTAGATTATATAGTGTATTTTACTTATTAGGTATTTTGGTAGAATATTTTCTTAACTTTCAAAACAGATGTTATTCAATATAAACACATATATTTGTCGTTTTTGTTCAATATATTATGACTAAGACCGGATCTTAATGTAAAAATATTAGAAATTTGTGTTCGAAACTCGCTTTCTGCGTTGGTAAATAGTCACATTCGTGATTTAAAATATTTTTCTAATTTCTAAATGGTCTATGCAACAAACCATATTGCACGTCAAACCATCTCTCTGTCTGTATGTAAATTGGCCATATAGGCATGGTGAATTAATTCCGTTCGGCAGCTGTTTTGGTATTGAGTCACATAAATCCAATATACTTGTATGTAAGTATATACCGACTATAACTGATTAGTTATAAATTAATATTCGCAATAGTGAAAACATAAATGACAGCAAGTCTTGAACCAAATTACAGAAAAATGTCGCCCAACTCATAATTTTTCTGTCATTTACTTTAAATAAAATATGTATGTTTATATTTCTTTTTAATACTAAAGGCTTTACTGATTGAAAATATTTTCTCTTCGAATTAAATTTTATATATTTTAACAACATAGATTTCTGTCATTTTTAACACCGAAAAAATGCTATTATAATTAAAAAATATTGCCGGAAGTGAATCTAATTATACATACATACATACATATGGTATATGTGTTGAAAGCTTCTTTTAACAATAGTTATATTCAAGAAATATAATCCTATTTTCAGTTCAAATGTGTACTGAATACTTGTCCTGGTCTGTGCTACATGAGTTTCATTCCCTCTGCATATGTTTTTATTAGAGCTAAAATGAGCCATACAATTTTTATGGCTCTTAATGATCAATAAAATAACACAACTTTTTGACACAACTTTCGCACAACAATTTTTATGTGTTTAGTTTTCTAAAGCGATAGAAAATGGTGTGAAGGTACATATGGGGGTTTTGTCTAAAAACAAACTTTTGAATTTTTAATTCGAATTTTAAATTATTCCAGATTGTTTCTTTAAAATTTACTAAAAATGATGGTAACAAAATAAAATGTATTATTCGAATTAAAATTGGAAAGAGAAAGGAATAAAAATATAATATACATATGTCTCTCTGAAACACTATATGTGTATATACGTTTGTCACATCATAAACTTACCACTAAAGTGTTCTAATGGCCCCGACTGTATTTTTATGTGTGTGGAGAATTAATTCCTAAATCTAAAACTGAATAATTAGAAAAGTTCTACGGGAAATGTCATTCCCATTTCTTGGAACACATTTAATTTTCAGTCCGCTATGTGGGATTAGTAATTTGGAAACTATTTTCTCTGAGATTTTCGGGATAATAATTTTTTGGAAAATAAAAAAATAAAATAAAAAATTTTAATTCAAATGTTTAAAAGTTTTCTTCAAATCGAATCTACTCTTCTACACTTTCTCTAAAAAGGAAGTCGTCCGCTAGTACTTAATAGTCAACAAAGTTGCAGGCGCACATTCATCATTGTTTGGTTTTTATTTTTGTTATCTCACCAATTTTCTTGTTGA